GGCCTCAAAAATACCTGAAGATGATAAAAAATAATTCTGGTAAAGAGGAGTATTACTTTTTTTCCATAAATCCCATAAAACAGGATCAGACATCAATAGCCATACATTCTGGAATTTTAAGATGTTTCGAATAGAAGTTCCTATCATTTACTTTTATCATATTATACTGATATTGCCATTTTATAATTTTTTTTAGACTCGATGGTTTGAATGACATATGATTGAACATCCATTTGAACACCCCTAATTTATTAGCTTTCTTCACAATAAATCTCCAGTTGTATTGAGAATCATTAAAGTTTATATGTATATCAGGGGCTAAAAGTTTCCAACACAAGACGAATGCTTTTAGTAAATTAGTCTGAGATCCACATATAACTGTAATCAGTTATAGATCTGGTGCTATCTTGACATTAATAAGACAAATTTGTTTTAACAGTTCAGGATCATCTTTTCAGTAAACCGTCATGCAAATCATGAACACAACGTCTTCTTCAAAATTAGTATTAGATGTTTCACCCATTCTTCGTAAACTATATGTTTCGATATCCTACGTAAAAACAAGAGTACGATCTCGTAAAAGGGCTGAGGAGAATAATAGATTATTATAATTGTTTTCACTTGTTAGATTGTAATTATTCACAGAAACTTGGAAGAGTTAGGTTTCCCCTTAAATATATTTATGAAAATAATTACTTAATGTTACCTAACTTGAAAGAGGTAATCTTTCTTCACAGGCTATTTTGCGGTAATAATACTGGCAATTTAGATCATCTGAGGCTGTATACATTCTAATAGTACGGACTGCTTTTAATACATTGTACTGGTCATAGTGATTCCATGTTCTCACACGGATATATGATTTCTTTTCTGTATGGTATCCTTGAAGTGAATAAGCGCTAATAGTCTCGATCCCAAACTTTGATATACTATTGAGAATATTAGATAATATCCTTACTAATTTGGTCTTAAACGTAGATAGTGGTATATCTTCAGGAATTTTGACATCAAAGAAGGGTTAGATGTCTATAATATTCACGACTGCTTTTTGCCTATTAATCAAAGAACAGATAATACGCAAAATATAGATAGAGACCTCATTTATATTTTTGGTATCATCACTAACTTTAGTAGGTATGAAATGTATGAATTACTTGTTGGATAGGCTTTGTTAAAATATAGCAGTCATTCTGTTTTCATATTCTGCTATGATCTCATTATGTGATGAAACACTAGTTAAAGACTTGGCGCTGTCGTAGCAGGTGAGAGTTCTGCGATCAGTTTGGTCAAAAATAGTTGAGGTATACATGTTGACAGTAGGAAAAACTTTTATATATTCCAATATAATTTCAAAATGTTTAATTATTTTTTTTGATAGATGCAAAAAAAAACACATAGCAGGTTGACAAGCAAATCACAAATAAACATATTCCTAATAGGTGATATTTAGGGTAGTCTTCTCTGTATTCTATTATATAAATATTGGAAGAAGACTACCCTAAAACTAGTATAAACCTGGATATGTCATCCAGGGTAGTCTTTTCCATATTCTATTATATAAATATTGGAAGAAGACTACCTTAATACTAGTATGTATCTGGGTATGTCATCCAGGGTAGTCTTTTCTGTATTCTATTATATAAATATTGGAAGAAGACTACCTTAACATTAGTATGTATCTAGGTATAGCATAAAGGCTACATCTTGATAATATGTATCCAGGTATGGTATAGCCTATGCATAAGACTTATACTTTTTAGATATGTACCCGAATATGATATGAAGGCTTCTTTGAAAATATTATATAAAATTATGGAAGAAAACTACTCTAACACTAGTATATATTCAGGTATGACATAAAGGCTACATCTTGATGGTATAAATAGGCTGATTATGATAATACATATCACATTTCTAATATCAGACGTAAAATCTGCATACATATATCAGTAACAAATAGGCATTAGCTTTGATCTTTCAAATTGTATACCTCAAAACCACTTTATCCTGGTAATCAAATGGGTCAGACATGATCCCTTAAAAGTTATGCAAATTGAATTTTTTTACATGTAATACTTACATACATATTATCATACCCGATATTTACTCTATATTCGATTAAGATGAAATATGATAGAAACACTTACGGAATATAAATATACTTTATAAGATGAATAAGATAAATATTATACTTACTCATTTTGTAATAATAGTCTAACAACATCTCGTAAAATTATGTATTAAATTTTGCATGACAAGCTATTATTGAAAATAGAGATAGCAAATTAACCGCGCTATCTGTTATCTTTTTTTACACCACTTTAGCTTCTAGAAAGGCAACCAAAATAGGCGTAAAGGGAAAATACTCTAACATAGAATCTAGCATCCAATCAGATGTAGAAAGCCAGTATCTTCAACATAAAACAAGATATCTAAACAGCTACAGAAAGTCAGTATCAACAATATAGAATTTATCATCTAAACGAATCAGGAACAAAAAGAAAGTAGACACCATTAGATTATAACATCATCATTAAATTAAAGCACTACATCTACCATTAGACTATGAAATTACTACCATATTATACAGAAAACAGTTAAAATAATGTTATAAACACAAAGGAGATACTCGTACGTAGGTTATGAAGTTATCATCAAATTGTGATATTAGGTTATGAAATTATCACCAGATTATATAATTAGATTATGAAATTACTGGCAGACTATGAAGTTACCACTATATTATAAAATTACTAGTAGACTATGAAGTTACCATTATATTATGAAGATACTGGTAGACTATGAAGTTACCACTATATTATGAAGACACCGGCAGACTATGAAGTTACCTTCATAACCTAATCTAAATCACCAGCAACTTCATAATATAATTATATCATGAAGTTGCTGGCGACTCAGAATATAGTTTTGCAATCGAAATACAAAGAGAACAATACAAAAGATATATACAATTCTTTCATTATCAAACAAGCAAGAAATTAATTCAAGAAAGAATTATGCGAAAAGTGTTAGTCTACTCTAAGGTATATTTGAAATTAAGAAGACTCATATGTCTAAAATTGGTCTTATTGAATAAACTCAAAACTTTAATTACATTTGTATAATTCTTTTGTTTAATATGCTCATTAAGAAAAATTATTACATTTTTTATATATTATAGATTTATGATCATTTGTATATAATACAATACAATTATTTTTTAATTATTGGTAACAGAATTTAACAGTAAATGTTAACAAATATACAAGATATATATCATACATACATATCGATGAAAAATGCTAATTAAAGTAATTAAAAGATAAACCCAAACAGAATCAACCAATATGGTATGCAAAAAAAACTCGTTAAACTAAGGCTATGGTATTGTATGAAATCAGTATAGTATTCCCCTAAATGTTATATATTTCTGTGATAGCACGTCAAAAAAATAGAAGTCCAGTGAAATAGGATCAGGAAGATTTTGAGGGATTTGAGCAGGAAGTTTCAAATCATGATAAAGACAGCATAATGATATCTTAATGATGCATTAATCTCGCAAAATATTTAATAGAACTTTTATGCCATTCTGCATTCTAAATTTAAACTAATAAACTAGAGAATTTTAATATATTAACAAAAAGAGAATCATTAACATTTTACATTACTATAATTCTAGATGGAATTGTGTTTCTCATTTTCTATCTGATATATAATAATGCTAAACCTACAATGAATTAGAATCATCAGAATATTATATAAATAATATGATTGTTACACTATATAAATATAACTTACTCTTATATGAATAGGTACTTGTTCTTGAAGAACTGAATCAATTTACAATATACAATCATGTTTGTGATCAGGACTTATCCAATATTTTAAAGCTTCTTTAACGTAATCTAATGATTCAATATAAGCTACTTTTACAACTAAATTTAGCCAAAGAAATTTTTAAATAAAAAGTATATAAAATTACCAGATTTAAAGAGTGCATAATAAATAAAAAACAGAAATTATGTTTCTATCACTCCCATTTGATGCAGTTACACTTAGTTTTATTGAACAAAATGATGCATCAGCTTCTTTTTCACAGTTTATGTCACGTGTTTCTTAGTAATCAAATAAATACGATATCACAAAAAAAGCAATACATTATTAACATTAATACTTACTAGATGAGCTAAAACCATAAATCTTAGCAGGAGTATCAATATCATTTTTACAAGTGACTATTATTTCTCTAGAAATTGTAAAAATGTTTACTTCATATGATACAGAAGGTAATTCATAAATAATGACTTTTCTATCTAACCATTCTCAATATCTATGAATGTTAAACTCTTTTACATGCTATTTGTAATCCTCTATGGTGATACCCGTAGCAAATACATGTAATAATCTTAATATAGAAAATTTATATCAACAACTGGCTCAAAAAATATCAACATTAAACAAGTAAACTTACGTTGCTTCATTCTAATTTGCTTTTCATTAATTTCTCCCTTATCCTACTACAAGTTTCGATAATAGGTAATATCTGACATTCTTTCTAAAACTGTATCAATATGTTTTTAGAAAGATTAGTTTACATTTAACATTAATCAAATATATTTCATTATGTATTAAAACTTGCCTTCTCTTTAATTCTATAATGTGATTTGACCTTTCAAGCTGAAAAATATTCAATTTTACTTAAAATTTTTAAAGATTTAATTAACAATCAGCAATAATCTAATGATGAATTCCTATTATTGAAGTTACTAAAGAAAGTACACATTTATCCTAAAATAATATTGGAAATTTGCTTCATTACATAATAATGTTTGATATATTTATTAATTGCAAATGAAAATATTTATAAATCATTAATTAGTATAATTAAGAAACTTATTCAAATTTCAAGTCATTACATGTATACTGCCCTACAATAAATTACCGGATTTTATAAATTTTACTTAGTAATTTATAGTAAAATTGAAGATCTTCAGATTGC